ACCCAGAGTAAGTGATTAATACCTGGGGAAGCAAACAGCTGTGCATATCTCTCTATCAGTGTTATGGGGTCAGACAATTTATGAGTTTACCCTGTATAAGCCTTATACGGAGTAAAACAGATTTATTTGGGGTTTGGATCCCATTGGGAGCTGGGTGTCTGGGTGCTGGAGGTTGGTAACCTGCAGAGCTATTTTCACTTAAAGCCTGCAGCTTTGGGGGCGTGGGCTGGACCTTGGGTCTTTGTTGCCAGAGGCTAGTGTGTCTGGCTCATCAAGGCAGGGTTCTGGAGTCCCAAGCTGGCAGGGAAAATGGGCTCAGAGGTAATTTCAGCACATCAGGTGACAGTCCCAAAGGGATCTCTATGACCAAACCCATCACAGGATGTATATTTTATACCATTCTAACTCAATTGTAGTTATCAAAGATTAAAAATAAAATAAGGTGAAAAACTCAGAATGAAAACATTTCTTTGCACAGTAGTTGTTGTTAAATATGGTTTGGCAACACCTGAATGTTGATCCTAAACTGCACCATGAGGACCATTTAATGAGCATACATGCAAATAAACATTTCTGCATTTCCTGCTGATCTACCAGTTCTTAATATACATCTTGCCATCTTTACAAATATTTTCCCATGATAAATTGGTCTATTTGAAATAGGAGTGTTGCTGATACCCTATAAACAACATATTAGCTTTTAAAAATATCATTAGCAAGCTTATCCACAATTCATTTCTACTGTACATATCCCCTGAATCTCATGTTTCTGTCATTTTCTAGGATTTGCTTGCCAGCTGCAAGAAGATATGTCACACTCATGGATAAATTTTTTGTTTCCCAACCACAGCCTACTGGGTCACAGAATCCATCTCATTTTATGAGAGGAAACCTTCGAACAGATAGAAAACTTAGCTGAGACAATGTTAGGGCTGTAAGGATATAGAAATTACTAGAATGTTGTTTAAAAAAAATCTAAAGCCAGGAAATTCAATGGTAAGGTTCTTCAAGCAATATGAGGCCTCTGGTCCTGCATGTGTATATCTTTACACATGTGAGAAGTCCTAGGACTGCTCATGTGAGTAAAGTTACCTATATGCCTTTTTGTAAGCTCAGGCCTTTAGCTCTGAGAAGAAAGATGGGCTACTGTTTGAGGTTCTAGCCTGGGACTTGGGAAACCTTTGTTCCACCACAGCTTTAGAGATGACCTGGGACATAGGCTCAGATCCTGACAGGTATTTAGGTGCTTAATTCCCATTAGGATCTGGTCACTAATGTCTCAGTTATCCCTGTATATAGTGGGAATAATCACAATTCCCTACCTCAGAGGGGTGTTGGAAGGATAAATACACTAAAGACTGTGAGGTGCTCAGATACTATGGTGATTGAGGTTATAGAAGTACCTTAGACAGACAGTGCTGATGCTGTATATCTTCTTCCTCTCCATCTAATAGAGATACTAATATAAATATTCCTGGATGATGGTGAGCAGCTCCCATTGGGAACTTAGTGCTAGCTTTTCTGTTTCTTTCAAACAGTATAGTAAATCATTTGTAATGGAACACTTGGCATATAGTAAAAAAACAAACAAACAAGAAAACTCTCATACCACCTTGAGTAACAGGGTGAAGTCTTCTGACTTGTGCTATACAGGAGGTCAGACTAAATGATCTAATGGTCCCATCTGGCCTTAAAATTGGTGGATCTGTGCATACCCTCCTGGAGACTGATGGTGAAAGTTCACGTCTCTACCCTGAACTTAGTCTCTCCTGGACCTGTGCAGTTTCTTCAGGTCTAAGACAACCCAGATTCTTCCTGATCTCTTTCTTACTATGGAGAATGTGAAGCAGAGCCCACAGCACCTTTCCTGTCCAGGGACAGGTACTAGCATTGCTAGCAAAGGGGGCCAAGTTACATGTGAGTAGTAAGTTGGGTTTTGTGAGAACTGAAGTATTTTATGGCAGTGAGGAACTGACTGGATTGCTTGCCTGTTCATTATCAGACTTTTTAATGTTTGGGTTTTTTAAAGTTGGAGGGACAGATTCACTGGTAGGCTTCAATTAGGCTGGACTTATAGCTGCTTTGCAAAGTTGTCAAAGCATCCAGGTGATTCTGGCCCATATTATTTTTGTAATATGTGTGTGTGTGAATGTGAGAGAGAGATGGACAATTTGAAGGTTTCAGAGTAACAGCTGAGTAACAGCCGTGTTAGTCTGTATTCGCAAAAAGAAAAGGAGGACTTGTGGCACCTTAGAGACTAACCAATTTATTTGAGCATAAGCTTTCGTGAGCTACAGCTCACTTCATCGGATGCAAACTGTGGAAAGTGTAGATCTTTTTATATACACACAAAGCATGAAAAAAATACCTCCCCCCCCCCACTCTCATGCTTTCCTAACGTAAGAACGGCTATACTGGGTCAGACCAAAGGTCCATCCAGCCCAGTACTGGTCTACTGACAGTGGCCAATGCCAGGTGCCCCAGAGGGACTTAACCTCCATTAATTTTTCTAGTTCTCTTTTAAACCCTGTTATAGTCCTAGCCTTCACAACCTCCTCAGGTAAGGAGTTCCACAGGTTGACTGTGCGCTGTGTGAAGAAGAACTTCCTTTTATTTGTTTTAAACCTGCTGCCCATTAATTTCCTTTGGTGGCCCCTAGTTCTTATATTATGGGAACAAGTAAATAACTTTTCCTTATTCACTTTTTCCACACCACTCATGATTTTATATACCTCTATCATCCGAGCTGAAAAGTCCTAGCCTCTTTAATTTCTCCTCATAGGGGACCCGTTCCAAACCCCTAATCATTTTAGTTGCCCTTCTCTGAACCCTTTCTAATGCCAGTATATCTTTTTTGAGATGCGGAGACCACATCTGTACGCAGCATTCAAGATGTGGGCGTACCATGGATTTATATAAGGGCAATAAGATATTCTCTCTCTTATTCTCTATCCCTTTTTTAATGATTCCTAATATTCTGTTTGCTTTTTTGACTGCCGTTGCACACTGCGTGGACGTCTTCAGAGAACTATCCACGATGACTCCAAGATCTCTTTCCTGATTAGTTGTAGCTAAATTAGCCCCCATCACATTTTATGTATAGCTGGGGTTATTTTTTCCAATGTGCATTACAAAACATATTTTTGTCCATAAATCCTCCAAACACATGGGTCATCCTTCATATTAAAAGTGAATTGTTTTCAATACTATGTCATTCATATGTTAATGGCCAAGTCTCAAAAGTATATATTTGTATTGCAGTGGCATTCATGAGCCCAGGTCATGGACCAGGACACCATTGTGCTAGGTACTGACAAACACGGGGCCGGGGGGGGGGGGTGAGGGGGGAGATAGTCCTACCCGCAAATATCTGAGAATATAAGCAATAAAAATAAACCTAAATAACCATTAGTAGTTGGTTGATATTGATTAGCTAGGTCCATTTGACATATATTTAAAGAGAGAGAGAGTGTAAAAAGCCTCTTTAGACAAATTGGGATATTTTTCTCCAAGAAAAGCCTTTCAAAAACAAAGCTGCATCAAGTGAAAAAAACAAAAAACCTAGTACCTGCCGATTAGTTTTCCTGGAACTCATTCAGGCAGAATGTTATGAGTTGAGAACTGTCTGTTTTATTTACACATTTTAAAAAAGTATATTTCCAATGTAGTGACGAGGCATACTCTCAAGTAAAAGGGAAAAGGCATTTATATGGAAGTCTATAACTAATTAAAGAATTATTTGTAACCTGGATGAAAACTGTTTGCTCTTCCCATCACCTTGTAAATTTAAGAACTACAAATCAATAAATAATATAAAAGGTAGTTAAACTCTTTAACAAGTCTGGAAGGGGATAAGAGCATCATTGAGAATGTCTAAGAATTACCTTGTTTGCTGCCTCTGAAACGTAAGCCAAAACTGAAGGCATCCTTTACTACTCACCTTGCCTTTGGTATCAAGAAGTGTCTCCATAAAAATATTTTGTTAATATTTGTTAGTATTGATCTTTAATGAGTTACATAGAAAAATATTTGAGGCACAGACACAAATACAGTGGGGAAAAGATACTCATTAGTTTGAGGAAGTTCAATATATACAGGTGAAATTCTTGAACAAGTAATTATGTCTAAATTAAAGATAAAAATATCTATATGTGAAATATGTAGCAGTTCACAGGCAAAGTTGTTAAGGTTGCAAGTTCTCAGCAATGTCCTGTGCTTGTTGTGTGCCTCCAGAATGGGAGAGTTTAATTCTCAACACTCAAATGTTACTAAATGAGGAAATGTGGCAGCACATTCTCTGCACAAGAATAATAGAAATGTAGGGCTGCACAGGAACTCGAGAAGTCATCTAGTCTAAACCCATATGCTGAGGCAGGACCAACTAAACCTAGACAATCACTGACAAATATTTAACTTGTTCTTAAAAACCTCCAATGATGCAGATTCCACAAACTCCCTTGGAAGTATTCCAGAGTTTAACTATCCTTATAGGAAAAACTTTCTAAATAGTATCTAACCTAAATATCCCTTGCTGCAGATTAAGCCAATTACATCTTGTCCTACCTTCAGAGGACAAGGAGCACAATTGATCACAATACTCTTTATAACAGCCCTTAAGGTATTTGAAGACTGTTATCAGGTCCTCCAGAGTCTAAGTTTGCAAAACAGTAGGACACAATGCAGTAAATATCTGTTTGGCTGAGTCTTTGACCAACTGATAGACCTGCAGTACAGCTAAGAATGGGGATTTTATTTTTGTATATCTTCAATTGGTGTAAGGCATCCAAAGGCTCAGTAAAGTGCACTATATATAAATAGATACCCAAATAAATTACAGGCAAATATACCATCCAAGTTCAGTATAAACACAGAAAGTCCTTCTTCTTCCGTAAACAAACTTGGCACCAAGATTCAGATTTGGAGAAAGGAGAATCTTTGAATTTGAGCCATCTGTTTTCATACATGGAAACATATTTTAAAGGATTTACTAACAGAGCAAATAAGAGGTTGCATCAAATATTTATTTAACACAAAACATTTGAGGTGTTTGATTTTTGCACAACTTTTGATAAAAATACAGTCTATTCTATAGAGGTTCTTATGGCACAATCATCCCTGTAGCAATAAGCCATGAAAGAGCCCATTATGCTTTATATAAATACATAGCAACAAACAACCTAAACCCCTACCAAAACAAGACACTTCAGCACACGTGCATCTCCCCCTGTGGAGAGGGTGAGAGATCAACCACCACATAGCAGATATGTAGCCCATGTTTTCTGATGCCCCACTGGAAGGTGTTCTGTGTTTATAATAAAAAGCTCTCATGCACAAAGGCCTGCAAGTGCCTACAAATAAAACTAAACCAATATTCAACTTTGAGTGTTGTGTGACAAGCAACTTTTACTCTTGATCTTTTAACAGATAAAAATACCTTTCCAGAGATAAATGTATCTAGGCATTTAGTCCTCACTGTAGTATCTGAGCAGTTCATAATCATTAATGGGTTTTATCTTCCAAATTTCCCTGGGAAGTAAAGAATTAGTATCTCTATATTACAGACGAGGAACTGAGTCACAGGGTAAGTTATGTGACTTGCTCAAAATCACACAAGGAATTTGTGGTTGAGCCAGGAATTGAAACCAGGTGTTTGGGGCCTCAGTCCAGTGCTGTAGCCACAAGCCAACCCTTCCTACGCTGTGACAGTAATTAATCATAGAAATCGGAAACAGGTCATCCTGCGCACACAGGAAAGACTATGGCAGCAGATCACAGGAGCCAGGAAACTTTGTCCTCATGGAGTTTCCCAGTGATTTTGCCCTCAAGTGGGAGGGCTCTTGGAGTATGTGGAAAGGGCACAGCCTCCCAAGCTGGTGATCCTGGTGACATCCAGAGAAAAGGTGTCCTAGACCAGTCAGTCTCATGCACCGGCTTCTTTGCTTCCCTCTCTTTTTGCACCATGCCTGCAAGGAGCTGCTTGCCATTGCCTGTTTCTCCACAATGAAGGGAGGCTCCATGGGAGATAATGGTGTTTCAAACAACATTAACTCCCAATCTCCGAGGACATCTGTAGGGCCTGCAAGGGGCAATGCCATGGAAAGTGGCCAGTCCCTGCCTTCAAATACTTCTTGCGCCCTCCCCACACCCCATCAAAAAATCCTAGAGAGCTCTCATCCTGTGCAGTTCTAACTTCCACAGGATCTGAAGGAGAGTTTGTGGCTCCCTGGCAGGAATGGCTGAATCAGAGTGCTCTCTATCCAGGGACGAGAAGTAGATAATGCAATCCCAGAGAGAGAAAAGACTAGTCTTTCCTCTTCCAGTGCAATAACACATTCACTCTTTGCCCCCTGTAACTTCAAAAGAGATTCACTGAACTAGAGTAACACATTGCATCTCTCATTAAAAAACTAATCAGAATAATATATTAATTAACTAGCAAGGCTATGTCTATATTACAAATTACTTCAGTATAATTTATGTCGCTCAGGGGCATGAATAATCCACATCTCTGAGGGATGTAAGTTATACCAACCTAAGCACTTCTGTGGACAGTGCTACGTCGGCGGGAGAGCTTCTCCTGTCAACATAGCTACTGCCTCTCATGAAGGCAGGAGTTACTAAACCAGTGGCTTAGAGTGTCTTCACCAGAAGTGCTACAGTGGCGCTGTAGCCGTGCCGCTGTCGCATTGACATAGCCCAAGTCACTGTACAGTGGAGGCAAGAAGTGTCAGATCACCTGGTGAAACTACAGCACCAAGTTTTAGTCAAAAAAGCTGGATAGGAGAGATGGGGTTGAGAATCAAGGCAAGGTCCCCAAAGACACTCAGGTCTGGGGGGGGGAGGGTGTAAGAGAGAAATGTGGAATAGAAAAGGATAACACCACGTTTTTTTAAATGACGTCTCAGAGGTAATTGGAATCCCCCCACAGTTATGGGAAAAAACAGAACTGCAGGATTTATTTTATTGCAATGGCATGTGGGCACGTCACAGATAAAACAGACATTGTGTAAGTCAGGCGTCAAAAGAGGCAGAAGACATAGTGTCTCAAGAGAGCAAACCAAAAACTATCAGCAAAAGTGCCTCAACTGATCTAGTGTTGAGCAGAGAAGTGATGAGGTATCTGTGTAATGAAAGATTTTGCTTTTAGCTGTTTTGAAAAACCTTACAGCACCTTGATAGAGACCATCAGAGAAAAACTGGGAGAAAAAAAAGGGGGGGGGAGGCTAAATATCATAAAAATTTCACCTCTCCCTGTTGATATAAGTAAGGTGGTGACAGTACCGGGACACTCTGATTTGCATAAAATAGCAGTTAGTTTTAAGATTAAGGCTTTAGATAAATAATAATTAGTGATCATTTAAAGTTAGAAATCCATAATGGTGGACACAATAATCCTCTATAAAAGACACAGGGTTAGGGTACGGAAAGTTCCAGCAACTCATAGGGAGGAGCCTAGCTATCTAAAAATAGGTATGACATAATAGGAAGGATCTAGAAATATGCTAATTACAGGAAGCTGATTGGCTGAGCCAGGCTAATAAATTATGTTAATGAGCTCACCTTGCAGTAGCAACCAGTATATAAGACCAACAGCTAGCAGGCTTGGTTGGGTTGGTGAAGATCAGAAACCTCAAGATGCAGCAAGAACTGCAGCAGCATCTTAAGAAGATTCTGGACAGCAGCTACCTGCAGAAGCAACAGTAGAATCTTCTAGAGAGCAGCAGCTTTAGAACACAGTAGCTACGGAAGCCTCTAAGGCAGCAGAAACCGAGGCTTCCAAGGAAGACGGTACTAACAGTTCCAACCACCACTGCAGCCTGAACGGCAACCTGACAGCACCTCCTTCCTTGTGTGACAGAGCAGAAAGACCTTTACAGACGGTATCGGGGGGCTGTGAGAACAGCAGAAGTTGTGATTTTGTCTCTGGTAAAAAGGAATGATCGGGTGTGCCTGTCAATAAAGCTGGATGCCTGTGTCTGAGTGAGATCCACCCCACCCATCACTGCTCACAGGATGTTAGTGTTAAGCAAACGATTTCATTAAATCTGTAACAATGTAATAGTCTCTTTTACGTGTGTGTAAAGGTCATGCATGCTACATTAGATCAAATAATGGCATTGGATTATAACATTAACACTAAGACCTTTGTGTAGGCAGGGTCTCTATATGCCTATTACTGTGTAACTGCTATATGGTCGGTGTATCCTGTATATTCTGTGGTTTTTTTGTATTATTTTATTTTGCCGCTTTATTATACAACTCTTTAAATGTAATTCTATTGTGTTTTACATATTCTTTCTTGCTTTATTAGATACATTGTAACTACTTACTTCTTCTAAATAAATATTATTTTGTTTTTGAAGAACTACTGCCTGTGTGTTCATCCTTGAGCAGAAGGCGGTATCAGTGTCCTTCCAAGGGGTTAGCACAATTAGCTTGCTCTGGGGAGCTCTCTGCGGGTCGGAGACAAGACCCCTGGTAACACCCTGGCAATTCCTCTACGGTGGACCACTATCTTATTACCCCTTTGCATAAAGCAAATTGCATAGTCTTAGGTAAACCATCATTGGAGTGCCTGAGATCTAAATCTTGGGGTAACATCTGAATCTCAAACTACATAGGGGAATGGTTTGCGGAGTCCTTTTAACAGAGGCGGATTAAAATTTATTGGGGCCTGGGTACAAAGAACTTTTGCCCCTCCTCTCCCCTCCTCCCCCCCGCATACCACTCACCATGGAACCTCACCCCCCTGCTCCTCCTCTCCCCTGAGGCCCCACTCCCGGCCAGGCCAGAAGTTGGAGACTGGCCATGGTAAGAGCCAACGAGGGGGCCTGGGCTGCTGTGGGAAGCCCTAGACCGTCCATCTGCCCTGGGACACAAGCCAGGGGCTGTTCTCAGGTCCCCTGTCCCCCCACCCAGGGCAGGTGGAGGGTCCAGGACTCACCACAGCAGCCCAGGCTCCTTGGGCATCTCTTACTGTGGCCCGGCTCTGACTTCTAGCCTGGCCGGGGGCAGGGCCCCAGGGGGAAGAGGAGGAACAGAGGACAGGACCACAGTTCAGGCACCAGTGGGGGGCCCCCCACTTCTAAAAAGGTTCTGGTGTTCCTGCAGGGGCCCCCAAATTGGCTGGGAGAATAAAGAGGCTGGAAGTGGGGGAGCCCAGGGTAACCCATGAAATGAAGGAACATGAGAACCCTGCTACAGATCTTTATAGATTAAGGGTGGGTGAACTATAGTGCCAAAACAAGAAAGTCTGGCTTTGTTGCTTCTTTTTGATATATAAAGAGCAAAGACAGAATCACTGTGCTTCTTTAGCATTACCTATATCAGGCCCTCTCTTCCACCTCTTTACCAGATCGTTGGAGGACACAAATGGAGTCTCAGTATCCCCCCCACCCAGAGTTGAAGATGGAGGAACAGCTGTAGCTCGTAGCCTCCTGTGACAACTCTGTTCAGATCCTAAAGAGATCTTGACAGGGTCCTCCACCCCCGAGAAGAGCACTGAGGACTTGCTTTTTCTCCTGCTTGTTCTGTTACATTAGAAATATCTTTGAAAAGAAAGAAACCCAAACATTTTCAAACTTATATGTATAAATCCTAAAGAGCCAATAAAAGGCAACACCTACCTTTTTGGGTGTTGCAGCCCTATTTATAGCACACTTCTGGCACTGAACCAGAAGCAAGTGAAACTAGTGCAGCACCTGGATCAAGGGTGGGAAGGACTGCAATGGCATGGAACATGAGTGTGGTGTGATGACAAGGGTGAAGATGGAAGCCTGCATGGAGGAAGAATGGGAGCACCTGTATGAGGATGCGGCTGCAGATGCAAACATCAAACCGGCAGGGCACTACAGTCTGCAATAGGCGAATCTTCTCATTGGCTTTTCCCTCCTATGCTCCCAGTGAAGCTAGCTGTTAACAGTTGCTATTCACATACCCTCACCATGCTTTATCAGGATCACAAGTTCACAGACTCATGGGAAAGAGAAAGGCCTTAGTGCTAACTTCTACCAAGCTTCCTGAGGCAAAGACAATTAACCCCAAAGCAGCTACACAAATTCTACATGGCAGGAAGCTAGAGGAGAATAAATATTATCATAAGAATACTTCAACTACAAGCGGGAAAAAGGATTAGATTTCTGACAGAATTGCTTGACCACACTTTGGTTCATTGTGAAATATATTCAAGAGACTAAATGTCAGTTTGGTTTATTGTTAAAACCTAAGACTAATATAGTACTGGAAAAAGGTCCAATATGATACCAATCTCCAGGAAGTCATCTTGTGCAGGGTTGTCACATTCACCTTATGCAGAAGGTGTGCTCCCAATTTTACACCACCTAATACCATCTTTGTATACCCTACCCGTTTACAAGTAAAGCATGCTACATACATCCTCTGAAACTAGATATAACCAATCAGCTTTCTACCTTGTTCTTCTGGTATCATTATGTATCCCTTATCTCTTTGTTCTGAATATGTGCAGTCCAGGTACTAAGGAGCATGAAGGCACCTTCTAGTTTTGTACCATGATAGAACATTCTTTTATTTGTCCTTTTCCTTTGGGATATTCCAGTATTAGCCTATGAGAGTAACTCCCTACCTCTTGCTATGTCCCAATCCTGACAGTTTTCCTATCTACTTAAGCCAAAGCTTACTTCAGCTGATGCAGGGGTGGCCAACCTGAGCCTGAGAAGGAACCAGAATTTACCAACGTACATTGCCAAAGAGCCACAGTAATATGTCAGCAGACCCCAAGCAGCTCCCACTACCCACTCCCAGTGTCTCACCCACCAGCCAGCTTACCAGTCAGCACCTCCCGTTCCTTCCCCACACCTCCTGATCGGTGGTTTTGTGGCATGCAGGAGGCTCTGGGGAGGAGGAGTGACAGCACAGCAGGCTCAGGGGAGCGAGCGGGAAGGTGGAATGGGGGCAGGGCCTGTGGCAGAGCCAGGGGATGAGCAGTGAGCACCCCCCGGCCCACTGGAAAGTTGGCCCCTGTAGCTCCAGCCCTGGAGTCGGTGCCTATACAAGGAGCCACATATTAACTTCTGAAGAGCCGTATGTGGCTCCAGAGCCACAGGTTAGCCACCCCTGACCTAATGCATGGTGTTTTGGGAAACTTGACATGGGTGGAAAGAATTGTGGGGAGAGAATACTACATTCAGTTAACATAACTTCCCAACCCTTATACAATACTATGCCTAGCATATGTATTGGCTAACAAGATTCTAGACGTGAAGTGGCTGACAACCTGCCAATGTACCAGCTATTACCATCAGCGCTGTGGTCATAATTATCGAGGGTCAGTCATACAGGAGGGAAAAAAGACTTTTAAATGAATCCAGGGAGAAGACTCGCGCTCTGTTCCTTGAAGACATCCAGAATGCTGCTGACAGAATCATCTCCCTTTTCCCATCTCGTAAGTCAATGACAGTGAAAACACCAATAGCAGTAATTTCAGGCTCCAGTCATCAGCTCCACAACAGTGAAATGGCCAATGCAGAATGAGCTGTGCTGAGAACAAGTAAGCAGCACATAAAGGCCAGCCTCATGTAAACCAGCACTATCGATTGTTACACCCTTACTACCATGGCTGCAATGGGGGTGTGAGGGGTCCTCCCCAGGATCTGCCCACTAAGCATCAAGATGAGATACCACTCACAATAGGTTGGGCAGATGTTCAGAGTATGATCAAGTGGGCTTTTCTAGGCATCATAGCTTAGCTCCCCTTTAACAGAGTTTGGATACCCCATAAGCAGGGCCAGACTAAGGCACAGGCATGTGACCCTGGCTCCTAGAGCTATGTCATTATCAGAATCTCAGCTTTCATTTAACAAAAAGGAAAGTTTCTAGTCCTCATGGATGCAAAGAAAAGTATGAAAACACACGCAACGCAGCAATAATTGCCTGAGTCTGCCAACAGCCTTCATCTGAGGGAGTCATTGGAGTCTGAGGGGAAGAGCACCCTGCTGCTGCTCCCACCACTGCCACTGGTCCATGAGGGGGAGGGAGGGCCCCCCGGTCTCTCCAGATAGCCAGGAAGGAAATGGAAACACCCCCAATCCCCCAGAGCAGCGGGGCCCCCCATGCAGAATACTGGTTGCCAGCCCTCCACTATGGGATCAGAGAGGTGGCCCTCACTGAAGCAATACCCATTTGTGGCAAGAAAGAGAGCCAACCCCTACAGCAGACTGTGGAGCTGTTGGTAATATGCTCATCCCTCTCCTTCAGGCTGTGATCAGCAGGGAGATAGTGTCATTGTCTTTAAGTCGTGGTATTAACAATCTGCAGAGATGCACAGGGCAGTTCCCTCTCAAAGCTGTCATTCCAGGCTCTGCAGACTTGGGCAAATATTGCACCGTCAATTAGGCTGGGATCAGTCCCCTCTCCAGTCAGGACTCTTGGTCCTGGCTCTCTGTAGATGCGGTCAGTCCCCTCCTCTGATGCTATAGGTCTCTACAGACTCAGGCAGTGTCACTGTGTTGGTCACTCTGGGATCAGTCCACTCTCTTGGGGCCATTGGTCCAGGCTCTCTGCAGACTCAGGCAGGGTCGCTGTGTTGGTTGCTCCTGGGCCAGTCCCTCTCTCACAGGGCTACTGGTGCAGGCTCTCTGCAGACAAAAAGAGCATTGCTAGGTCAGTCACTATGGGGTCAGCCCCACGTACTTGGGGTATCAGTGCTCGCTCTCTGCGGCCTCAGGCGGCCTCACTGTATCGGTCACTCTGGCCCAAGGCCCCGTTACCCAGGCAGTCTGTGAAGGCTCGCTGCAGACGCCGGCAGCGCGGCTCTGTTGGTCATTGCAGGCTCAGGCCGAGTCGCTGCAGCAGCCGCTCTAGGGTCAGCCTCCCTGGCGCTATGGGGCAAGGCTCTCTGTGCGCGCCTCACTCCGGCCCCCGGGGCTATGGGTCTCGGGCAGGCGCGCGGAGACCAAGCGGTTCCCACCTCCCCCCGCATGGCAACCCCGCGTACGCGGCCAGCCCGCACGCCCCCAGGCAACGCTCGCAACGGCCAGCCTGGCGCCACGCGCCCTGACCCGACCGGTCCCGCCTCCACTCCCGCCCCTCTGGGCGCCACGTGCCGCGGTCACGTCAGAAGCCCCACGGATTCATGGGACATGTAGTTTTTTGGCGGTTCGGCGCAGCCCAGTCTCCGTCCGCGCGCAGAGGGAAGCGGCCTGGCCCTGCGCTGGGACCGCGCCTCGCCAGCAGCGCGCGGGGCCAGGGGAAACGCGGAGCTCGCGCCCGTGACACGCGCGTTCAGCAGCCCTCCCCTCCGCAGGAAGTGCCGGCGCAAAGGGCGGGGCCTCGGGGGCGTCCCCGGCGCGTGTTCCGGTAGCCGGGTTTCCTGGTTGGTGCTTCCTGGTGCAGGAGCCGGCAGCGAGTATGTGAGTGAGCGGGGCCGCCGGCGGGCAGGCAGCTCCCAGCGTGGCGGGCCGGGCCGGGCCTCGCCCGCCTCCCCCCTTCCTCAGCGCTCCCCCCATCCCGTCCTCTTCCATACTCCCCCCCTTGCCCGGCCAGAGCGCCCCCTCGAATGCCCCCCCACCCCACCCTCTTCCATACCCGCTCAGCGGCCAGAGCCCCCCTTGCCCAGCCAGAGCCCCTCCCCCCCCGAATGCCCCCCCACCCCACCCTCTTCCGTACCCCTTCCCCGGCCAGAGCCCCCCTTGCCCAGCCAGAGCCCCTCCCCCCCATCCCGTCCTCTTCCATACCCCCTACCTGTCCAGAGCCCCGCTTGCCCAGCCAGAGCGACCCCCCCCCCCGAATGCCCCCCCACCCCATCCTCTTCCATACCCCCTCGCCGGCCAGAGCCCCCCTTGCCCAGCCAGAGCCCCTCCCCCCCGAATGCCCCCCCACCCCATCCTCTTCCATACCCGCTCAGCGGCCAGAGCCCCCCTTGCCCAGCCAGAGCGACCCCCCCCTCGAATGCCCCCCCACCCCACCCTCTTCCATACCCGCTCAGCGGCCAGAGCCCCCCTTGCCCAGCCAGAGCCCCTCCCCCCCGAATGCCCCCCCACCCCATCCTCTTCCGTACCCCTTCCCCGGCCAGAGCCCCCCTTCCCCGGCCAGAGCCCCTCCCCCCCCATCCCGTCCTCTTCCATACTCCCTACCTGTCCAGAGCCCCGCTTGCCCAGCCAGAGCGACCCCCCCCCCTCGAATGCCCCCCCACCCTCTTCCATACCCGCTCAGCGGCCAGAGCCCCCCTTGCCCAGCCAGAGCCCCTCCCCCCCCATCCCGTCCTCTTCCATACCCCCTACCTGTCCAGAGCCCCGCTTGCCCAGCCAGAGCGACCCCCCCCCCCCTCGAATGCCCCCCCACCCCATCCTCTTCCATACCCCCTCGCCGGCCAGAGCCCCCCGGCCAGAGCGCCCCCCTCGAATGCCCCCTTCTCTTCCATGCCCCCTCCCTGGCCAGAGTCCCCCCTCCTCGTCCTGTTCCATACCCCTTATCTGCCCAGAGCCACGTCCACCCCCTGAATGCCCCACCCCCAGTCCCTTCTCTTCCATGCTTCCTCCTCGGCCAGAACCTCTTCCCCCCCTCCAAGTTCCCCACCCACTCCCCTTGTCCCTGGCCTGCCAGAGCCCCTGAATGTCCACCCCCAGCCCCTTGTGTTCCATACCCCCTACCTGTCCAGAGCCACCTCTGCCCCTTGCCCGGCCAGAGGCTCCCCACAGCCTTTTCTCCTCCGTGCCCCCTGCCTGGCCAGCCCCTTCCCCAACCCAGAGCTTTCCCTCTCTACCTAGCCAGAGCCTCGCCTATCTCTGTGTTCCCTGTGCACTCCGCCCGGCCAGTGCCTCCCCCCATGTCCCCTGTCTATCTCTGCATTCCATCCCCCCTGTTTCCAGAGGCCCGTGCCACTCTTCCGCAGCATGCTCTGGTCCTTGCCCAGAGCCTCCTGCCTGGCCCCAAGCTCCATGGTCCTAAAGCCCCCTTCCTCCGGAGCCTCTTCACCCCCTTATACCTCCTGTTCCCCAGAGTTCAAATGCCCCTTTTCTCAGACTCCCCTACCCAGAGCTGCTTCTTCACCACATATACCCTGTCTCAGTCCCTGGAGACGCCCCCCACTTCCAGTACATGTCCTCTGCATCAGTGCCCCCCCCCCACCTCATCACATCCTGCCCAGAGTCACCTCCCTACCGCCTACCCCTTTTCTCTTCTCCCTTCCCCAGTCCCAAACTGCACACATATGACATGGTTTCCATATGATGCTGGCTCCCAAATTTTGACCCTTTTACACCTAACTAGTATAAATCCGTGTATTGCAGCTGGCCTTGATAGTGGGGTCCCAGCATGCAGTACTCCCTCTTGATCCAAGTAGTGTCTACTTAGACCAAGATGGTACATCTCATGTTGGCACCTGTTGTCTTTATTTAAGCTGAGGTGGGCCAGGCTCTGCTGTCTTGTACCATAAAAGCTTTTAGTAGTGCTAAATGCCTTAAATTTTAGAGCTGTGTGGTATTAAAAAAAAAAAGTTCTTGTCTTCTGTGTTTTTGTATAAATGTCTAGTTCTTCAATTGCTATATGAGTGCCAAACCTGTAAATCCCTAGACAGTTCAGGAAAAGAGTGAGTAGTGGGTCCCTGGCAGTTTCATCCTTAGAACTTTGTATTTTATGGGAAAGTTCAGAAGGAGGCACTTGGAGGGGGAGAAGAGATTAATATAATTTCAATAAAATTACACTTGTGTGTTCTGTAGATGGGTACCGCGTATATTCAGCATAGACAGTTGGGTTATCACCTTTCCTCTCCTTCCCCATTCACTGTCCTAAAAACCTCCATCTTTATGATCTTCTACACTGGAATAATGTTGGGTTATTTATAAGTTCATCATATGGACTGTTGGCAGAGAGCTGTGCTTAGGTCTTCAGGTAAAATTAATCCTTGATGTAAAGAAACAACTCAGCTGATTTCAATGGAATTGCCCCATTCTGTGATCATGGTGGGAAAAAGTGTTTTTCCCCAAAGTGAAAAAACTTTCAAAACACTCAAAATAAAGTTTCTTGAGTCTTTTATAATAAAATGAAACCTGTACTAAGAACTAGCTCTGAAAGATAACATTCCTAAGAGATCATTGTAAAGAATCCTTGAAGTTTTTAATTCTTTATAAGAACATAAGAATGCCCACACTAGGTCAGACCAGTGGTCCAAGTGGCTCAGAATCCTGCCTTCTGATAGTGGCCGATGCTAGATGCTTCTGAGGGAATGAACAGAACAGGGCAATTATATCCCCTGTTGCCCAGTCCCAGCTTTTGAAAATTGGAGGTTTAGGGATACCTGGAGGATAAGGGTGTGTCCCTGACCTTCTTGTGTAATAGCCATTGGTGGATCTATCCTCCATGAACTTATCTAATTCTTTTTTGAACCCAGTTATATTTTTGATCCTCACAACGTACCCTGGCAATGAGTTTCACAGGTTGATTGTGCATTGTATGAAGGAAATACTTCCTTTTGTTTGTTTTAAACCTGCTATCTATTAATTTCATTGGGTGGCCCCTGGTTCTTTTGTTATATGAAGACTTCCTTAGTCACTTTCTCCACACCAGTCATGATTTCATAGACCTCTCTCATATCCCCCCTTAGTCATCTGTTTTCTAAACTGAACAGTCCCAATCTTTTTGATCTCTCCTCACATGGAATCTGTTCCATCCCCCTCATCATTTTTGTTGCCCTTCTCTGTTCTTTTTCCATTTCTAATATGTCTTTTTTGAGATGGGGCAACTAGAACCACATGCATTATTCAGGGTGTGGGTATACCATTGATTTATATGGCATTATGATATTTTCTCTCTTCTTATCTATCCCTTTTTAAATGGTTTCTAACACTTAACTTTTTGGCTACCTCTGCACATTGAGTGGATGTTTTCAGAGAACTAGCCACAAGGACTCCAAGATCTCTTTCTTGACTGGTAACAGTTTATTTAGAAACCATCATTTTGTATGTATTATGGGAATTATGTTTTCCAATGTTCATTAATTTGTATTTACCGATCCTGCATTTCATCTGCCATTTTGTTGAGATTCCTTTGTAATCTTCATAGTCTGCTTTGGTCTTAAGTATCTTGAGTAATATTGTATCATCTGCAAACTTTGTCACCTTTTCCGCCCTCTTTTCCAGATCATTTATGAATATGTTGAACAGCACAGGTCTCAGTACAGATCCTTGGAGGACCCCGCTATTTACTTCTTTCCATTGTGAAAACTAACCATTTATTCTTATCATTTATTTCTTATCTTTTAACCAGTTACTGATCCATGAGAGGACCTTCCCTCTTATCCCATCACTTTGCTTAAAAGCCTTTGGTGTTGAGACCTTGTCAAATGCTTTCTGCAAGTCCAAATACACTCTATCCACTGGATCATCCTTGACCACATGATTGTTGATCTCCTCAAAGAATTCTAATAGATTGGTGAGGCATGAGTTCCCTTTACAAAAGCTGTTTTGACTCTTCCCCAACATATTTTGGTCATCTCTGTGTCTGATGATTCTGTTTAAGACACCATTTCTGTCTCAACTCAATATTTTTTTGTTTAAAGCAGTTTTCGCTCTACCTGAAAACTATTTCTCTCCATTTGAACAAACTACAAACATGCTAGAAAACTAACATTACAAGAAAGAGCACTTAGTCTCTCCTTTTGCTTCTTATTTGTTTGGATAGGCTGCTGTTTAGCAATGCAAGCTATCATTCCTTTGCCTCTGAAGTAATCATAACAGCAGGGCCACTTTATCCATTAGTGTCAACCTCGTGGCGCCCTCCATCTACTTCTGTGCTACTTGAAACTGGGATAAAAGACACTTAGATACATCCTATGTCAGCTCCGGGGCAGGATGGATTAAAATGATTTCAATTTAAATAAAATGTGTTTCAGTTTAAATAGATTTGTTTAAAGATTAATTTAAGTTTACAGCCATCTATCTGAACTTCTGTTAGAATAATTTAAAATGTTAAAAACACCAGTTCAGTAAGTTAAATAGACATTATGCATTGCACATCTTCAGTTGTCATAGTGGTATTATTCATGATACATGAGCTGTGTAGTGCTTTAGCCTATTTAATTAAATATAGATAAAATGGAATAGAGATTTTCTAGTCTGGACTCTTAAGTGTTACAGGTATTATCCAAATCTCAAATGATTTAAATCTGAACAAGCAGGTGGGGATTGAATAGGTTTTGGCAGTTCTCT